TAATTTATTTTGGGGCTTTGCATGCAATAAATATATAAATTTTCATCCTTGTACTGTCTGCTGCAGCAGGCAGTAACCCTGCTGCTGCTGCTGCTGCTGCTGCTGCTGCTGCTGCTGCTGGTGAGAGGCTAGCCAGGAAGCCGTAACAACACAAACCAGGCTGCAAGAGCAGCTGCAGCAGCAGCAGCAGCAACAGCTGCTGCTGCTGCTGCTGCAGCAACAGCAGCAATGATGATAGGTGTAGCGGGGGGCCCCCTTGCAGTGGGGCCCCGTGGGGCCCCCCTGCGGTCCTTTGGATGCGCTGCAACCAATACGTATGTAGCAGCAGCAGCAGCAGCAGCAGCAAGAACAGCAGCAGCAGCAGCAACAACACCAGCAGCAGCAGCAGCAGCAGCAGCAGCAGCAGCTGCAGCAGGGCAGCAGCAATATTATTTGCTGCAGCAGCAGCGCGGCTTGAAGTTCGTTCATCCTCGTAATTGGATTTTACAGTGGAAACTTAAACCAGGAGACAAGGCAAGAACTGCTGCTGCTGCTGCTGTTGCTGCTGCTGCTGCTGCTGCTGCTGTTGCTGCTGCTGCTGTTGCTGCTGCTGCTGCTGATGATGATGATGGTCGTGTTGCTGCTGCTGATGGTGCTGGTAATGCTGCTGCTGATGGTGATGGTGGTGGTGGTGCTGCTTCTGTTGTTGCTGCTGATGCTGATACTGCTGATCCTGCTGTTTCTGCTGCTGCTGCTGCTGTTGCTGCTGCTTCAGTATTTTTAAGAGCGCAGCAGCAGCTGCTGCTGCAGCCTTTGCCTTATACTTTGCTTGCTGATTCTGCTGCTGCTGTTCCTCCTCCTTCTGCTGCCGCTGCCGTTGCCGCTGCTGCTGCTGCTGCTGCTACTGCCGCTGCTGCTGCTGCTGCTGCTGCTGCTGCTGCTGCTGCTGCAGGTGATGATAATAAGCGGGAAGTGGAGAGGGCGGGTGGGGCAGATTCTGCAGACAGACAAAATGAGAAACGGAATTGCTGTTGAAGGAGTCAAAGTGGTACGTGCTGCTGCTGCTGCTGCTGCTGCTGCTGCTGCTCCTGCTGCTGCTGCTGATGATGATGATGATGATGATGATGATGCTGCTGCTGCTGCTGCTGCTCCTGTTGCTGTTGCTGTTGCTGCTGGTGCTGCTGCTGCTGATGATGATAATGATGAGGATGATGATGATGCAGGAATAGTAGTAGCAGCAGCAGCAGCAGCAGTAGCGACAGCAGCAGCAGTAGAAACAGCAGAAGCAGCAGCAGTAGCAGCAGCACCTATACCAGTATGAACAACAGCATCAGCAGCAGCAGCAGCAGCAGCAGCAGCAGCAGCAGCAGGAGTTTCAACAAGCAACCAAACGGAGCCAAACCAAGCCAAAAGCACAAACAAACAAAAAAACAACTAAACAAATAAACAGAATAAAATAAAATAAAATAAAATAAAATAAAATAAAATAAAATAAATTTATTTATTTATTTATTTATTTATATTTTTTTTTTCTGCAGCGAAGAGTAAAAGCAGCAGACGGCAGCACGCAGACAGTCAGCGGCCTTCTCCATGTCTCCAACGCCATGCTCATAGACCCACATA